AATTAGGGGGGGAAGATTTTGGGGTGGATTATAGATTTTTTTCTATTGGATTCAAAGCTCTTTCTGGCATTGGTTTTATTATTACATAAAGTCTGCTCTCTTATTTCCATGCCCTGATAGACTGGGCACAGGCTGTCTCTTTGTCTACCCAGACAGGAGTAGTTCCTAGTCTGTCCTTTCTATTCCATCTGCTTAGCTTCTTGAGACATAACTTGGTTTTCCTTTCTTTATATTATGGGATTGTGAGACGAGACTTTACTATTTTTTTTTTTAATCCTTACCTGAAGACATGCTTTTTAATGATTTTCGAAAGAGGAAAGGAGAGGGAGAGAGAGAGAGACATCAATGTGAGAGTGAAACATCAATTGGTTGCCTCCCACACACACTCTAACTAGGGATAAAACCTGAAACCTGGGTATGTGCCCTGACCAGGAATTGAACCCACAACCTTCTGGTTTACAGGACAATGCTCCAACCAGCGAAGCCCCAGCAGCCAGGGATGGTATTTTTAAAAAATTTATTTATTGTATTTATTGGGGTGGCTTTGGTTAATAAAACTATGTAGGTAACATTGACTGCCCTTGTAAGCGAAATAATTTTGGAGAATACAGCCGAATTGTAGTCTGGTGATTTACTCCTGTTTATTGTTGGGTATACGTTCTATTACGCTATTGATTTGGTTTCCCTGTCCCTTTAGGTGCTGCTACATCCTCATCCTCTTCTTCACCCTCATCCAGTTCCATAACAGCTGCTGTTATGTTAACGTTAGCTGAACCATCCATGTCCAGCGCATCACAAAATGGAATGTCAGTCGAGTGCAGGTGACAGCAGGACTTGCTAAAGCACTTTGCACTTAATGGCTGTGAGGGCCACGTCTTTTTTATACTGCACAGTGGCACAAAATATCAGACAAAGCACTATTTTATATTTAAAAATTGTTTCTTGACAAGCTGACTCGGCACTTAAGTGCACTTTTTTTATGAAGAAAAAGTACAATGAACTGCTTTTCCTCAAGCAATAATTGTTTCCAACTTGTCTGGGAATTGTGTGTCTGGTGACTTGAAGGCCTTCCACTGTGGCTAATGGAGGCTTTTCACTGCCTGTAGAGACAATACAGTAAGCGTAATTATTGGGTGGCCAGAAAATGGTAAGATAACTTACTGTATATGTATTCCCTTGTATTTTGTTAAAGCTGGAGCATTTGATATTTTTCCATTTATTTATGAAAAAAATATGAACCTATTTTCATTTGTACAAGCTAATTGTTTTTTAAAGAGAGTCACTTTGCGGTGGCTTTAATTGTATAAGTCAAGCACATGTAATAAATTCAAAACCTGCCGTTAACAGGACAGCAGACATCAGTCCTGGTAACCAAATATTAAAGATTCTCTTTAAAAAAGACTGAACATGTTTACAGGTTTGAATTAGGCTAAAAGGTCTTGCAGTGGCTTTTCATACCCCTTCAAATTGGAATGAAACTACTGTACTTTGCCATTTTTCTATAAATCAGTATTTTTTTTTAATTTTGATATAATACATTGTGTGAAAAAAGAAAATGGCTAATAAACTGTATTAAATCTTAAACAATGTATAGATTGTATTTAGCCAGTTCAAAGTGTATATTTATTCATAATGAATTATAACAGTTATATTTTTGTGTTTTCTTGTAAATGTTTCTTTTCCTTAAATACAGATAACTCATTTGTATTGCTTATTTTATTATGAGCTACAACAAGAGGATTTCAGGAGCAAGTAAGCTGTATTAGTATGGTTCAAGGTTGAAGTATAAATAGGTAATCGGGTAGTAGGCCTATGAAATTAAATGCCTTGTATAAAACAAATGAACGCAGAATTGTTTCCACTTGTATGGACTTTATGTTGTATGATTCTGACCTCTGTTCTGTTTGGCACTTGTATTTAATTCTCCACCTTTGTAAGACATTGTATATTGCGGATGTGTTCATTCAAGCTATTTAATACCTGGCACTGTTAATACACAGTACTTTACTGTACAGACTGTTTTACTGTTTTAATTGTAGTTCTGTGTACTTTTTTTTTTTAATGGGGCTGGCATGTTTTACTTGTTTTCAGGCAATATGATGTGAGAATTTTGAAGCGTTTTGTTGTAGATGCTAACGTGTCAGAATCCTTTACATTCAACTTTTCTAAGAAAAGCATTTTCAGTCTTGTAGTGTGTGCTTACAGTAACTAATTTTGTTGAAAATGGTTTCAAGTTACTCAAATTTGTACAGGACTGTAAAGATTTGTTGACAGCAAAACATTGAAGAAAAAGCTTATAGAATAAAAGCTATAAAGTATATATTAGGATCTGCAAACAATGAAGAATTATGTAATATATTGTACAAATGTAAGCAAAGGCTCTGAAATAAAATGCCATAGTTTGTGAGTCATTGATTTTGTTTCTAAAAGATTAAGTAATTTTGGTTTATTTCTGTATGTGATGACTGATTGGAACATATATCTCCAGCCTGTATTGTCAGGAGGGGTTAATTGACATACAGAAAGGGGCATGTTCTATCCATAAAAATTAAAAGTCCACTAACCAGGTACAGGATTTATTAGGCCTTCTTTTATCTTTGTGTATAGTTTTGCTTGAGTCTGAGCATGATGAATACCTAAGACTTGGAGATTTGTCTAAAGAATAAAATCAAAACTTTTGTTTTCTTTAACATACTTGAAACCATTACCAGCAGCTAGCCCCCCCCCCCTTTTTTTTAATTGATTCGAGAGAGAGAGGGAGGAAAGGGGGGGAGAAATCCATGTCTGTTACCTCCAATACGCCCACCTAGGGCAACCTAGGGAATGTTTCCTGATAGGGAATCTAACCTTCTGCCAACTGAGCCACACAGGCCAGGGCACAACCTTTTTCCCTTTTAAATTGTAATTGTCTTTTAATTTACATGGACCCTTGTTGGTCTCATACTTTAGCGCACACTACTCATGCACATGGGAATCGCTGGGCATTGCTAAAACAGGGGTCAGGCCCCGCCCTCACAGAGTCCTGTTTACTTGGCTGCAGTGGGACCTGAATATTGATCTTTTTTTAAAGTCTCCAGTGATTTTAATGTGCTTCGGGTTGAGAATCACTTTACCTCAAACCTTTTAAGATAGTTTCTTTGCCCCATTTAATGAACTTCCCACCAAGAGAAAACATTTTTAAAAACCTATTTAAAGGCCTAGTAAGCTCAAATGTGTATTTTTTTACTATTTAAAGTATTACATGTCTCCTTCCCCCCCCATTGACACACACACACACACACACACACACACACACACACGCCCCCTCCTCCACTCCCACCCCTAAGGGCAAGCCCCCACCGTCCCAGTGTGTCTGTCCATTAGGTTATGCTAATGTGCATGCATACAAGTCCTTTGGTTGCTCTCTAACCCACCCCCCCATCCCCTGCCCCATGTCTGGATCTATTTTGTTCATCAGTTTATTTTGGTCATTATATCCCACATATGCGTGAAATCATGTGATATTTA